GTCAAACCTCAAGGGCTGTGGTGGTTTATCGAGTTTTCAATTAATTGCTATTTTAATTTAAAAGGAAAATTTGATTTGTTTTGTTGTGATGCAATTTAATAACATAAACTAAAAATAATCAAAACAAAAGGATTGAGATCAAGAGAAGAAATATTTAGGGATTAACTTCACCACGAATCTCATACTATGATCAACTGTTCAACCTTGGGATTTCAACAATTATGTATTATATAGAATTAAACTCAATAACATTAATTTAATTCAAATTTAAAGAAAGATGTTTCATGAATTTCAACTAACAATAACCTATCTTCGGTTAGTACGAATTATCTACCTACCTACTTCTAACTAATGTTGTAATATAACTTGTCTTCCCTAAGCATAGCCTATGAAAACATTCATTCATGAAAAACATTGGAATACCATTGCATAATCTCTATTCTTATTGTCGAGAAGCCTTTATGCTGAGAATGAATTTTAGAAAAATCGTTCTTTTTCCTCTGAAAATATGAATGATATTTATGTCTATTCTTACCACAAAAAGTGCAATGCAACAGTTTAGGCACATAAGACATATCAGAATACAATGCATCAGGCATACATGGTTCAAGCATATGAAAATCAGTAGAGCTAATAACTAATGTTTGAACTTGATTATTAGATGAACCTTTATCAAATGCTAACCCAGTTTTATCATTCACATCTTTACCTATGTTGTTCAATTTATTCAAACAGTCTTTACCCATTGTAAACCCTTTCAGTTTATCTTGTGTAGATTTTAATTCAATTTTAAGATAATCAATTTTTAAAGCAAGATATTCTTTCAAAGAGTTAGCACTACTTATCCTATCTTCAAGAATAATGATCTTTTTGTTAAGCTTAGTGATGATAGAATTGCTCTCAAAAGTTTTTCTTTTATCCTTTATCAATCTGTTTTCTTAGATCTTCATTCTCTCCTTTTGCTTGGGTAAGTTCTTTTGCTAACTTATTGATAGCTTGTTTGACTTCAATGGTTTCTTCGACCATCTTTTTCAATCTTTCGTCATCCTTTTCATCCTTTTTCACCTATTCATCATGAACTTCATCGTTTTGATTATCTGAAATATCAGAGTCAGATAAAGTAACAATATGAGGACCTTTTTCAAGAAAAGCGACATCAGCAAAATCATTAGAATCATCGTGAGGAGAATCATTATAACTAGAAGCAAAATTTTTAGAAATAAAAACTTTCATTACTTTTCCTTCATTCATATCCTTTTGATCTTTCTTAGGATTATGACACATATTAGATGCATGATCTTTGCTACCACAATTCCAGTAAGTGAATTCAGAATCTTTTGACTCTTTTCATTAAATCTAAATTTTGACGCTTTGTCAAAATTTTGAGGATTGGCCACGTTGCCATTCCTTCTCTTCTGTTGTCTTTGCAATATCTGATTGAATGCCTTAACATAAAAGCAAAATCATCCTCAGAGTTGTCATCGACAGAATTCTCAACCTGTGTTGATTTTAAAGCAAGATTCTTTTCCTTTTGATTTGAATCAAAATTTTACATCTTATAAATTTTTAATGAACCTACAACTTCATCAACTTTAGAGATAGACAAATCCCAATATTTAGTGATAGTTTCTGTCCTTATTTGAATATTTTAGGTAAAGACTTTAAGATTTTCTCACAGTTTTTCTTATAACTAACTATTTTACCTAAGTGTCGCATTTTAGAAATAATTTCGAGAAGACTAGAATAAAAATTAGAAAATGATTCATTTTCTTTCATCACGATGTTCCCTAAGTTAAGAGAAAACATCTTAATTTTGGATAAATTCACTTTTGAAGTCCATTCATGAGTAGCCTGCAAAATATCCCAAGCGTCTTTAGTAGTCTTACAATAAGAAATCCTATCATATTCAAATAGAATAACAGAATCAATAATTGCATATAAAGCTTTTCCATGAGCATCATTACGCTCAGTTTCAATAGCAGTAAAAGTAAAAGTATCTTTTAAAATTTTTCTACTTTACCATCCACGGTTTTATCTTCTATAGGTGGTGTATAGCCAGATTCAACAATAGCCAAAGTTTTACGTCCTGAATTTTGCAAATAAGCTCTCATATTTGATTTCCAAAAATTATAATTGTTTCCTTCAAATAAAGGATCACGTTGATTAGAACCACCTTTCAACGCATAAGACATGATGAAAACAAAATTTTGAAATCAATTAAAACTTTCCACAAGGATCAACTTAATGTGCAGAGATTGACTTTGATATTAATTTGTGAGTTATACACAGCGAAATATTTAGAAAGTTTTGTATTTTTAGAAACAGATCTGTGTCTTTCTAATCTTTACTTATTTTAGCAATTAAATAATTAATCACATGCAAAACAAAATAACGCAAAGTAAAAGTTAGAGATGATACTAGAATTTTTAGCGAGGAAACCCCAGTTGATAAAATAGGTTAATTGTTTACGTGGAAAAAACCTCGTGTATTATGTAGTCCAAAATAAACCGATCCATTATGTATGAAATAAAGTACACTGAACTTTGACTCTGACTCACACCCTATCATTCTGCCAAATAACAATAGCTGACAATCCTCTGACTTTGCGACAACCCGTCCAACACCACTTGTCCTCAGGCTTATGCTTGATCTTTGTAGATGGGTAGCAGGTAGATTAAACAACACTCCACGAATACTTTGACCCTTTCAAAGTATGATCGTTTTTACTTCTGTTCTTTAATATTTGAATTTGATGTAGAAGTAGATTTGCTTTTCTCTGATCGTTGTAAATATAAGACTTTGATAACGATTAGGATTTGAACAACACTCTAAACTCACTCTTGTGTTTATGTGTTTGTTTTAGAAAAAATGATAGAGAAATTAACTTTGATTTACTTTGCGTTATCTCTCTAAGGCTTTTATGAAATATAAATTTGTAATGCAAAAGCCATAATAAACCTAGATGACTATCAAGGTTTATATAGAATTTTCAAATACCTAATCCTTCAAAAAATAAAGGAAATTTCGTACATAGGACTTTTGGTACAATTTTAAACCAACTAGGAAAGAAATCAGAATATGATTACAAAGTTTTCTTAACTTGTTAGAAGACCTGAACCAGTTCAAGAAAGGCTGAACCAGTTCAACAATGGCAGAGTTATTTCGAAGCAACTTTGAAGGTTCTTGAACTGGTTTTGAAGAGCTTGAACCCGTTCCAGTATGCCAGACTTGAGAATCCTAAAGCTAAAACGTAGTAAAAACACTATTTTGGAATTTTATGAAAATATACCAAGTATGGAATGTGTCATAATCTATTTAGATTTCTTCCTTGAATAACCTTGTTGATATTGATTTTGATATGGTAATTTGAAATTACAACTTGATTACATTTATTTTGACATCGAATATTGCCGATCACAAAATTTATATGTCACATTCTTTAAGTACCTATTAACTATATTATTACTCAAACTAAATAATCATAATTTTTCACCTGCTTCTAAATATAATTTCTTGATTTTTTTGTTTCTTACTTGTCATTCCTTCAGGTAACACAATTAAAATTATTCGGTTATTCTGTATAATATACATCATAGGTACGCCTATATTTCTTTCCTCTATTTGTGACGGGTCGCTATCCAAGGGGTGTGAGTATCAGCTGCAGTAATGTCTCATATTTATTTTCGTTTTCTCTTCTATTTATTTGAACATTGCGCATCTGCGCTTGGCCACCAGTTCTAAAACCATCCCAGTGTATGGACTCTCCAACCCTTATGTAGGGACCACCTTGTGTGGCTCCGAATTTCATCAAAGACTAATTGTGAACTTGCCATTAAGTTTCACCCACAACCTCATATTTACTTGGCAACAATAACATACAATTAAATTGTGGAGGCAAAATTCTCCTACCAATAGATGCACGCCACATCATAATGTGGGGGCCGCCAAGGAGTAGAATGATTGTTCAACGACCCGTAGAGGTCAAGGCCCAACTTCAAGGCTGGGTATGCCATTGATACGGCCTGGGCCGGATAGGGGAGTTTGGGCTTTGCTGTGCGAGTCGATTCCAATCCATACGGGCCTGACGCATATCCGCTAGGGAATCCAATCAACAATAGGAGTACTATAGATGGCAACTACCTTATGTAGATTGCTGTTACAATGAAACAAATATTATAAGATACGAACTTGGGGGACAAACAAAACGGGTCCTAGTCCAATTCAACTTGTGTAATTTAGAGGCATATACCAATTCAGAGCAATTTCTTTTGAGTATTTTCCTTTATTCTTTTTGAGCGTATTGCAAAGTTGTTTGACTATTCCAAGCCAAACGAATTTTTGCACTACCACAAATCTTTCCCAAAAATTAGTATTGCGGCCATCGGTTTATTTATCTCCTTTTTCGTTTCTAAGAAAATTTTATGAACTTTTATTTTAAATATAAACAATAAAAATGAATATAAATAATTATATTCTTAAATTTAATAATTCATCATTTACTTTCTTAGTTAAAAATTAGATATCATCAAACACAAATTCATTTATTTTCTTGGTATTTAAAATTAGAAGGGTGATTTTAGTAAGTACAATCACTTTCTTTTCATTTAATGCTATCTAAATTAACAAACTAATATTTTTCTACAATTTTCTTCAATAAATTTTTATGTTAGAAACTCGCTTTTCTAATCATTCAATTCACTTTTTTTTCATTTTCTGTTTCTTTTGTTTTCTTGCTTTCCCCCCAAATTTCATTAACGATTTTTGAAATTTCGGAGGAGCTCAGAGTAATTTACTGATATAAATATCCCTCGTCCCTTTAAAAATATATAGAAATTTATCCACACAAACACCACACGGCACACATATATACAAAACTGTTGAAGTTCAAGCCCATGTATGGTTGGGTTGGATAGTTGATAGCCCACTCCAACCATATACCATTGGGCTATATTTGGCCCCTAAACCATTGAAAGTGATGGCAACGGTCATGAAACCACTACTGCCCATCCACACGAATCAAACCCGCCATTATTCTCCTATTCGTAACCACCATCACCTAGTGCTTCGATGGCATCGTCCTTATCATGTACCATGCTCCTCTTCCCTCCCAATCCCTCTCTCTCCCCTCCTAATACTCTCTGCCCTCTCTACAGCCTCCGTAATTCTCCTCCTCGTACCACTGTCACCACCACCAAAAGACCCTCTTCTTCTTCCAGAAGATCAGTCTCAATTTCGGCTTCTTCGGATGCTCTGCAAGCTCTGATATTCGATTGCGATGGCGTTATACTGGAGTCCGAGCACTTGCACCGCCAAGCTTACAACGACGTTTTCTCTCACTTCAATGTCCGATGTCCCTCTTCGCCTGTTTCTCAGCCTCTCAATTGGGACTCGGACTTCTATGACAATCTCCAGAACCGAATCGGCGGTGGAAAACCCAAAATGAGATGGTTCCTCTCTCTCTAGATTCCTAGAAATTGATGCTTTCTCTCTCTCTATACATGTGAATGTATGATTGGAATTTTGCATTATTAGGTATTTCAAGGAGCATGGTTGGCCCTTTTCTACGATATTCGAGACACCACCGGAAAATGATAGTGATAGAGCAAAGTTAATTGATACTCTGCAGGTATTATATTTTTCTGATAATATTTTTGTTGGATATATACCGGAGATAGAGTGAAATGATCAAACACTCACTCACAAAAACATGTTTACATGTGTTTTTCAAATTGGATGCATAATTTTGGGGAGTTGCATACGAGATTTCCTGAGTTAGTTCTTATTTTGTTGTTAATTTGGAAAAGATTGAGGGATTTTAATTTTGCAGTTTGATTGGGTGTGCTGTATTACTTGTTTCAGGTTCTTTTTTCTTGTTCTTTTGGTGTAGGATTGGAAGACTGAAAGATACAAAGAAATAATCAAATCTGGAACTGTAAGAGTGTATCTGTTCTACACTTCTGTATTATGATCACTTTTATGTTCTATTGCATTAGCAACTGTTCTTAATGATGATTGTGAGAATATGGTAATGTCATTTTGGGTAGGTGGAGCCTAGACCAGGAGTTTTGAGATTAATGGATGAGGCCAAGACCACTGTAAGATAGATATTTACCTCATAAATTCAGTTATTGTTTCTGTAATGGTACTTGAATTTTTCTCATTCCTATCTGGATCTATTAAAACATAATTTGGTTCTAGAATTATTTATTTATTTATTTATTTTTTGATATCCATAAAGTCTGATTATAGGCCATCTTTTCTACAAGAAGAGTTCCATTCATATGAAAATAGTCTCACCAGTGCTATATAACTTCTCACTCGCTGTTGTAGGGTAAAAAACTTGCTGTTTGTTCTGCTGCAACTAAAAGTTCAGTTATACTATGTCTTGAAAACCTTATCGGAATTGTAAGTACTCATCCAATCCTACTTCTCAGAGGTAGTTATCAGTGTTTTCTTTCTCTGAAGTAGGTAATGTTGGTTTACTTATTAGTCTTCCCCTCTTGTTTTAGGAGCGCTTCCAAGGTCTTGATTGCTTTCTTGCAGGTATGTTGACTAATTCTGGGAAGTGATTTCTCAATACCTATTTTGAGCATATGATGAGTATGGCTTGTGACATTCCTACATGTGGTCACCCATATTTGCTTATCAAATATGCTCAAGGATGTATATGACCTACTAAAACTTAGTTCTTGATTTCCTCTTTGATAGGAAAGTTGTAATTGCTTTCTTCATTATCTCATAATTTTAATTTAATGAACATTTTCTGTTGACCAATTCCAGTTACCAATAAAATCTAGAAGAGCCTACAAAGCCCAATTAACCAACCCAGACCAGGAACTCCAAGGTCATTGAATAGCACCTTTAGCTGAAAAAATGACCATGTCTTCTTAATAATAAAGCAATCAAAAAATAAATGATCTATGTCCTCTATTTTCTCTCTACAGAAGACACATCTTATGCTATTGATGATCCCCATTTGCAGTAACCTATGCTGAGTAGGAATTCTATTCTTGATAATGAGCCATAAAATTGAATGTTTTGGAATATTGCCTGAGAACTAAACTAAGTCAGCCCAAGGAATTTTAGCCTGATTAGGCCTGATTTATTCCCAAAGAGTTTTACTGGAAAAGCCACTTTTAGAGGGCAGGCATACCAGAAGATCAGAAGTAGTAGGGTCAGGTTTCAAAGAGTTGGGTATAGAGTTTCTCAACTTCATAAGCTCACAAGGAGAACTAATTCCTGGCCAATGTATAAGCTAGAGGGAAATTTGTTGTTATTCAGATACCCTTAAGAGGTCAGGTCGGCCATATTTCCAGAAACCATTAGGATGTTTCTATCTAAGTTTCTACTTTACAACAAAATTTGTTGAGAATGCTAGTATGTAAGTTTTAGAGTGTACATTTTTGTCAAGATTGTTATGCAAATACAATATTAACTGCTGCACCTCGAATTGAGTAGTATATAAATATGACAACAGGGTGTTGGGATAATCTTCATAGGTCTGTGCACTACCTGCCAAATTCATTTTTTTTTTTTTTCTGGCAACTGCCAATTCACTTTTGCATAATAAATTATGGTAGTAAGTCAACTTCATAGTTTTGTGTTTACACTTTGCACCGGCAATTAGGGAGGTAATAATGGTAACAATGGGGGACTAGTTGACTTGTTTAGCTTTATGATCTTGAAGTTTTTGTTTAAGTAGATTTTTTTTAAAAAAAAGTAACGAAATTTGAGTAGAAATTAAAGGAACCCATACGAATTGTAGAATTCAGCTCCAATACTGCATTTTCATCTTGACTAACAAATCACCTTTTTGTCAACAAAGCTTTATCAACTACACAACATTTTCATAACGTACATTGAATGCCGGCAGAATGAAGGAACAGGCACAAGAACATGGATCATGATTATTCAAGACATCTTCAATCTTTATTCTTCTGTTTTCTCAGCAATGCATTACTTGGAGTCACCCCTGTGAAATAAAAATGTTGCATAACATTTTAAAAGCTCTACTGGTTCATTATTTTTTATTCCCAAGATCTGAAAATTCAGCATCGTAATAAACCCCATTAATTGAGTTCAACCTCAGTTCTAAGAATGAGTTCTCCATTTCAAATGCATATCGAGTACTGAATTTTCTTGGACACTTCCGGACACATACCATCTCTGGTCTTGTTCAAATCTCTATTTTTTAGACACTAAATTGGTACTTTTAGGCACTCCCAACAAATCACCAATTAACCATAAAATACTTTTTAATAGGGGTTCTGTTGACTCTCTTTAAATAGGATGAGCACTCTCTAATCATCTGATCTTCATTCTTAAGAAAAAAAGGAAGGGGAAAAGGAATCAAAGAAAGAAAGCATGAAAAAAATCTGACACATACACACGGCTGCCACATGTCAAGCTTGCAAGTGACACCATTTGATAAAGGAAAGAAAAAAGGTTGTTAGGGAAAAAAGATATAATGGCAGAGAAATATTACACATATAATTACATTAATATGGAGTAACTTGTATTGGGATTCGTCTTTCCATATTCAATGCCAATATAGATGAGAGAAATGATCAAAGTTACATGTACATCCCAGTATATGTGAACATATTTATATATTGCCTTGTCATTGCTGTGCTTGTACCCTATTTATAGGATATTGCATGGCAGCATATCTTCCCCTTAAGCAATTCTTCCCCTCAGCAAAGGATTAATAGCAATGGCAGTATTCTCCATGGCTTCGATCCATATGACTTTCTCTTTCCCCTAAACCATAACTGTGCTATTCACGTCTTTGTGACTGTGTCTGTGCTTATTAGCATTCAACATGTTCTTGACATTCACAGGAATTTCAATGATATCTAGAAGGTTTAATTTTTAATTGGCATTTGAAATTAGAAAATTATGAAAGTTCAAGTGTTTTAAGCAAGTATATTGTATTTTAATGCAATAAGTGATGTTTGACACAATTAACCCATACTAAGCAACATGACCGTTTGATTCTTAAAATTCTCTTCTACTTATTTTTTCTCTCTTTGTAGGTGATGATGTGAAAGAAAAGAAGCCTGATCCTTCAATTTATCTAACAGCTGCAAAGGTTACATTTTATAGTTTGTCATGTACCTACTGATTCCTAGTCATGGTATTTCTTTGTTGTGATCAAGTTTCAAGATCTGTTGAACTTGTACCTTTCAGAAGCTAGGCGTGTCAGCGAGAGACTGTTTGGTGGTGGAGGATAGTGTTATTGGGCTACAGGTTGGTCTCATTTGTGATAATTACTATTTTTTTTTTAAGATTAGCGAGTATTGAGAACAATATATAAACCTGAAACACTGAAATCTGTTCTCCACTTTGTCTTTGAATCATGTTATGGTAATGTGAGCAGCAATTCCATTGTGTAAAGTAAAATTTCCTTCAATTGTGAATCTGTCAGTGTCTGGTCATTTAAATACCATCTCTTATGAGTTTGTTTTGGCAAATGAACATTGAAACTGTAAGCAGAATGCATCCACTAGATATTTTTTCTTCGTCCACGTTAGTTTTACCTGGATCCATTTGTTTTTGGCAATGAAAATGAGCCTTCCGCTGTTGTGGGAACAGAAATATTTAGTGACAGTGGCTCTATGTACATTCAAAACGGAAAATGTCTTTTTAAACTCCTGACTTAGTTAATCTCTGCAGGCAGCAACAGGAGCTGGGATGTCATGCGTAATTACGTATACAGCATCAACATCTAACCAGGTGAGAGGCCTACCTCCCAGTGAAACGATGGGGTGAGATGGGTGGGGGAGGTCATCAGACATAAAAAATAAATTTTGCTGGCAACTGTTACCAGAATTTCATTATGATATGACTGAGTTATTTGTCTGATTTAACATAGGATTTCAAAGATGCAATAGCGATGTTCCCTGACTTGAGTAATGTAAGGTATGGTAACCATTTACTTTCTGCAAGCAGAAATTTAATTTTGCTTAACTTGTCATTCATACCCATTGTTTGAATCATCCATACAGATTGAAAGACTTGGAGTCATTGCTTCAAAATGTTGTCGCCGCCAATTAGGGAATCTGTGGCATTCCGCGATATAAGTAAGTAGTCTTGTGTTGCTTGTGATTAACAAGGTTTGGCTTAATACCACTAAGCATTAGTTGGAGGTATTTTTGCATCTCTTGCTCTTTATTTATGTAAAAAAATATAAAATATAATGATTCGCACAAAAGCAAAATCTCATTGATTTTTGAATGATTCTGTTTTGTATTCATTGAATGCTGATTTTAAAGTTTAATGATTTTCGCATAAAAGATGTAATAAGTCCGTTTTCTCTCCCTTACTTTCTGCGTGAGTGCATGGCGCCATATATGTTTAACAATTCCATGTAGGATAATTATTTTCAGGCTCAAGTCTTCTAACAAAGACTTGGGTTGAAGACTTTGGCCTGAATAGCTTAACTCTTCCATATGCCAATAAAAATTTTCAAAGCTGGATTCCTAGGCACCTGGAATAATTTGTGGCAGTTTTTTTGGTTGAAGTTTTCTATTTAACTTTTATGCTTTAATGATACTAAAAATGGCAGGTAGTGCGTTTAATACACCATAAGGATGTTATGCTTGAAAATGTTGTTGCTGCTCTTGACGTGTCAAATCTGTAGCTCGATTTAGTGCTGTAATCGACATTGTTGGATGAAGAACATAGGAGCTGATGATCTCGGAGATTGAGGTTTGTTGGAGGGTGTGTGTAGATGCAAGGAAAAATTCTCTCTATTAATGGAAAATTCTTTCTCTTACACTAAACACACTGCCTCCTCCTTGTTTCCTTTTTCTATTTTATACATTATTCTGGTTTACCTAATAGTACTGTGCTTGGGCCTGCACTATGTTTGGGCCTCAACGTTACACGGGTTGGGTTGTGTCCAGCTTGTCTTTGGACTTGTGGGCTTCAATAGGTGGACTGGCTGGCTCAGTCCACTTTGGTTGTTTGACAGGTGTCACTCTCTGGAAGAGGAGGGGAATGGAAAGGTCTTTCAAGGGTAATTTTGCCTTTTCAGTGTGGTTATGGAGGTTCTTGTGGCGTGATGTGAAGTTCGAGAGTTTCGAGGGGTCAGAGTGGACTTAGCTGCATCGATTGACATTTTTGATTTGCACATAAGCTTGAAGAAGATGGTTTAGTTCAACTATTTTGGAGATCAGAAAAGAAGCAGATTTGAGGAACGTGAGGATTGTAGTGATGATGGGTAGAGGAAAGATAATCAAATGGTAGAGAGAGAGAGTTTTCAGGGTATTTTTGTCCTGAAAATTTTATGTTTTCAATGTACTACAAAAACTGAACCAATTTATGAAACAAAGTCCTTTTTTAGCGGGCCGGTGCTCGGTAGAGTTGACAAGGTAATGACTTGAATACCACCGTGTCTCAGGTTTGATTTGTCCTTCTCATTCTTAATTTAAAATGTTACTTGTATTGTGGGGTCGGGATAAGTAGTTGGGGGTTTATCTGGTAGTTACAAGTCCAAAGGGTGGGTAGTTGCGAGGGTTTACACATCGTTAAAAAAAAATAAAAAAATAAAAAAAATCCTTTTTAATGGAATAAAGAGAAAAAAAAAAAAAAAAAAAAAGTCATTTTTAATGGAATAGTGGTTCGATTTCATTCCGGTAGTGATAATATAATAATATCGTAAAATGAATTGAAGATTATTAATCTCAACAATCGGATGAAATTGATTCACTGTTGCACTGGAGAGAACTTGGGTCGTCCAATTTTCTGCAGCATCATCTTTTAATTTATTTTTCAATAGTTTGAATGCTTTTTCTCAAGCTCCGTAGCTGACCATTCTTCTTATTTCGTATTGACACATTGCTGAGATTGCAAAATCAAGTACCAACTAAAATTAGACTTCAATCCGTGAAAAGCCAAACCTTGAATCCACCTGTCATTTTATAATTTTAGTAGTAACCAACCAAGACACACGTAACTTATTTTGTCATCAAATAACATTTTTAATTACTACAAATTGATTATCTGGACCCCCAACCGAACCGAATGCATATACAATTTATATTTATTTTAATCAAATAATATTCTCAAAGTTTAACATTGATATCATCCAAAATTTCAAATAATGCGGATCACTCTCAGCTGATTGATTTAGCATATACATGTAATGTCAATATCATACTGTACTATTTATGATGACATTATAATAATTGTGGGTGAAAAAGATACTTTATATATATATATATATATACACACACATATATATATAAATCACTTTCAACCAAAGAGAGAGAGATTCATTGAACCATATAAACAACCATAATTACAACTCACCAATAAAACTTGCCGGGGCTTAGCTGCTTGTTGAACATGAATTCAGCCACAACCAGAAAGCCTCATGCAGTATGTGTTCCATACCCATCACAACCAGAAACCCTCGGCTTGTTCCTTCATGGGATATCTGCATTATCGTGAACTCATCAAAAGAGGCATTATTCCATTTAAAGGTACTCTTTTTGTCAAGGTTTTGGTAACTTAATTGTTTGGTAGCCAAGAAAATTAGTTCTTCAATTAAAAACAAAATAATCATTGTCACTACTTCAATGTCTCCCCTTTTGTAGGGGGAAATGTTTTACAGTAGAATTTATGAACTAACTGACACAATTATAACACGAAGCGATGTTTAAGAAGGAAATGATTTCATTATTTCTGGATGGCAGACGAAAACTTCCTGGTCGATGGTACTCTTGATACACCTATTGATTGGATCCCAGGCATGAGAAACATTCGGCTCAAGGACTTGCCAAGCCATCTTAGGAACAATCACCCTAAGGACACCATGTTCGACTTCATGGGAGAGGAAGCACAGAACTGCTTAAAAGCCCCTGCAATTATCTTCAACACTTTTGAAGCATTCGAACAAGAAGTGTTGGAGGCAATCGCATCTAAATTTCCTCGCATTTACACTGCAGGTCCTCTTTCATTGCTAGAAAGGTATGTGAGTGATACCAAAGTCAAGTCAATTAGTGCAAGTTTATGGAAAGAGGACTCCACATGTCTTCAATGGCTAGACCAAAGAGAACCTAACTCAGTTGTGTATGTGAACTATGGAAGTGTGACAGTAATGTCTGCACAACACTTGAAAGAATTTGCTTGGGGGCTTGCAAATAGTAAGCACCATTTTTTATGGATTGTTCGACCTGATGTTGTGAGGGGCGATTCAGCGTTGTTGCCACAAGAATTCTTTGAGGAGACTAGGGACAGAGCATTGGTAGCGAGTTGGTGCACACAAGAACAAGTCCTCTTACACCCATCAGTTGGTGCTTTTTTGACACATTGTGGATGGAATTCTATGACGGAAAGTGTTTGTGGAGGTGTGCCTATGATCTGCTGGCCTTTCTTTGCTGATCAACAAACCAATTGCCGGTATGCTTGCACTGAGTGGGGGATAGGAATGGAGGTAGATCAGGATGTAAAGCGTTACGAAATTGAAGCTCTTGTTACGGAAATGATGGAAGGGGATGAAGGGAAGAAAATGAGAAGTAGGGCTCAGGGGTGGAAGAAGAAAGCAGAAGAAGCTACTGAGATTGGGGGATCATCTTATAACAACTTTGACAGATTCATCAAGGAGGTCCTCCAATTTGAGAGCAATTAGTATAAACTGTTGGGGAATTTATTTAGGTTTCTGAGGAGTTTTACTTGGGATGTGATTGTGTACAATTGTTTTGACCTTGTGGCAAAAAACCATGGAGAAGCAGTCTGGCATGCCTGTAAATTCTCTCATTGAAAAAAAAAAAATTAAATAAAATAGTATGATGTGCCTCAAAATTATATATGTTCTTGAAAATTTAGTGTCAGCTGATTCTCCAATAGCCTGTCTAATAACATGAATTTTATAGTAACTAGTAGTATCTATGGTATCAAAGCTAAAATGTCTCGACTTCAATTGACCATCAATCTTCATACTTAAAATTGAATGACTATTTTTAAAAATAAATAAATAAAAAGAGAAAAAGGAAAAAAGAGAGAAAAAGAAAGAAAGAAAAGAAAATTAGTATTCATAGGGTGCTACTTAGGTTAGAAGTAGTTGGGAGTTTAATCCACCAAAAATCATTGCATGTTTGGAATCTACGTTTTATTTTGTTTCTTAATTTTGGGTCTAGTGATTAGTACATCACTATTAATTAGGTATTTAAAATTTTTTTTTCAACGAAAACACTAATCCACTCGACTATCAAGGCATCTGAATTAGGTATTTTATTTTATTAACTCTATTTTACTCCTTTATTGTAACCCTAGTTAGTAAATATAAATACAAGTTCCTGCAATCAATTAGAGGAACACAATTTTTATTTTTATTTTGGTATCAGAACCTTACACAGACACAATCCTCTCTTCAAACCACTCCTTGGCACCACCCATTGCCCTAGACCTAGACCCATTGCCCTAGACCCCACCCCACCTCCGACCTCTTCCCTAGCCTTCAGCGATTCCCCCTTTGGGAGTACAGGCTACCAGCGGCTCCCTTGGAAGTGTTCTCTCTTGGGTTCGAACCCCTCTTTCGGGGTAGCTTTTAGCGAATAATTGTGATGTGCTAGGGTGTTCTACCATTCTTTGATGATTTTGGGCTATCGGTGTGTTCAATAACATCTTCATGAGTTGTTGCCGTGTCTTCGGCAACTGGGCTATTGGTGTTTGCAGCGATTTTCTTATCGAGAAATTTGTGAATTTTTTTGAGTTTTTGTTTTTTTGTTTTTATGGGTGACTCTAGTGAAAAAGGTAAAGAGGTAGCTGTTGCTCCCCGTTTTGATAATTCTGTTTCTCAACGTACCCCAGCTCAACAAATTATAAGTGTGTTGTTGAATATGCATAATTTTGCATCATGATCCCACTTCTTTTGTATCTATCCTGGAGCGAAAGGCAAGACGAGTTGGATATTAGGAAAGGGAAAGAAACGTGGTATTAATAACTCTAAATTTGCTGTGAACAACTGCACGATTCTAGGATGGCTATTTAATTCTATGGAAGAGCGACTTTACAATATGTTCATGTAGCATGACACGATACACAATACACAATCTTTGGGCTGCACTGACCCAGATGTATGCACATATATGCAAAGATTGTTATAAAATTTGTACTAAATTTTTTCCAATCTCACGATTCTAGGATGGCTATTTAATTCTATAGAAGAGCGACTTTACAATATGTTCATGTAGCATGACACGATACACAATACACAATCTTTGGGCTGCACTGACCCAGATGTATGCACATATATGCAAAGATTGTTATAAAATTTGTACTAAATTTTTTCCAATCTCAAATTCAAGTTGTCTATTTGGTGCTCCCAAACATAACATAGTATATGTGTAATGGTTAATATTTTATCACATAAATATTTTGCTAAATTTCCTCCAACCCTAAATCCCTGTTGTCAATTCGGTGCCCCTAAACATAGCATAGTATATGTGCAATGCTTAGTACTCTATCATAGAAATATTTTTAATTAGAGGTAATTTAATTTTGAGTTTTATAAAATAACTCCAATCCTAAATCCAAAGTACCGAGTTGGTGCTCCCAAACGTAACATATTAATATCATTAACTTTTATGCTTTAATGATACTAAAAATGGCAGGTAGTGCGTTTAATACACCATAAGGATGTTATGCTTGAAAATGTTGTTGCTGCTCTTGACGTGTCAAATCTGTAGCTCGATTTAGTGCTGTAATCGACATTGTTGGATGAAGAACATAGGAGCTGATGATCTCGGAGATTGAGGTTTGTTGGAGGGTGTGTGTAGATGCAAGGAAAAATTCTCTCTATTAATGGAAAATTCTCTCTCTTACACTAAACACACTGCCTCCTCCTTGTTTCCTTTTTCTATTTATACATTATTCTGGTTTACCTAATAGTACTGTGCTTGGGCCTGCACTATGTTTGGGCCTCAACGTTACACGGGTTGTGTTGTGTCCAGCTTGTCTTTGGACTTGTGGGCTTCAATAGGTGGACTGGCCGGCTCAGTCCACTTTGGTTGTTTGACAGGTGTCACTCTCTGGAAGAGGAGGGGAATGGAAAGGTCTTTCAAGGGTAATTTTGCCTTTTCAGTGTGGTTATGGAGGTTCTTGTGGCGTGATGTGAAGTTCGAGAGTTTCGAGGGGTCAGAGTGGACTTAGCTGCATCGATTGACATTTTTGATTTGCACATAAGCTTGAAGAAGATGGTTTAGTTCAACTATTTTGGAGATCAGAAAAGAAGCAGATTTGAGGAACGTGAGGATTGTAGTGATGATGGGTAGAGGAAAGATAATCAAATGGTAGAGAGAGAGAGTTTTCGGGGTATTTTTGTCCTGAAAATTTTATGTTTTCAATGTACTACAAAAACTGAACCAATTTATGAAACAAAGTCCTTTTCAGCGGGACCGGCGCTCGGTAGAGTTGATAAGGTAATGACTTAAATACCACCATGTCTCAGGTTACGAAATTGAAGCTCTTGTTACGGAAATGATGGAAGGGAAGAAAATGAGAAGTAGGGCTCAGGGGTGGAAGAAGAAAGCAGAAGAAGCTACTGAGATTGGGGGATCATCTTATAACAACTTTGACAGATTCATCAAGGAGGTCCTCCAATTTGAGAGCAATTAGTATAAACTGTTGGGGAATTTATTTAGGTTTCTGAGGAGTTTTACTTGGGATGTGATTGTGTACAATTGTTTTGACCTTGTGGCAAAAAACCACGGAGAAGCAGTCTGGCATGCCTGTAAATTCTCTCATTGAAAAAAAAAAAATTAAATAAAATGGTATGATGTGCCTCAAAATTATATATGTACTTGAAAATTTAGTGTCAGCTGATTCTCCAATAGCCTCTCTAATAACATGACTTTTATAGTAACTAGTTGTATCTATGGTATCAAAGCTAAAATGTCTCGACTTCAATTGACCATCAATCTTCATACTTAAAATTGAATGACTATTTTTAAAAATAAATAAATAAAAAGAGAAAAAGGAAAAAAGAGAGAAAAAAGAAAGAAAAGAAAATTAGTGTTCATAGGGTGCTACTTAGGTTAGAAGTAGTTGGGAGTTTAATCCACCAAAAATCATTGCATGTTGAAATCTACGTTTTATTTTGTTTCCTAATTTTGGGTCTAGTGATTAGCAGATCACTATTAATTAGGTATTTTTTTTTTCAACAAGAAGTGTTAGAAGTTAAATTAGTAGATACAGAAGTTCGAAGTCTGGCACTCTAAGATCCACCGGAAGCACTAACCCACTCGGCTATCGAAACATTTGAATTAGGTATTTTAATTTATTAACTTTATTTTACTCCTTTATTGTAACCCAAGTTAGCAAATATAAATACAAGTTCCTGCAATAAATTAGAGGTACACAATTTTTTAATTTTTTTTGGTATCAGAACCTTACACAGACACAATCCTTTCTTCAAACCACTCGTCGGCACCACCCACCTCTCGCAACGCCTTCGCCCATTGCCCTAGACCCACACCCCACCTCTGACCTCTTCCCTAGCCTTCAGCGAATCCCCCTTTGGGAGTACAGGCTACCAGTGGCTCCATTGGGAGTGTTCTCTCTTGGGTTCGAACCCCTCTTTCGGGGTAGCTTTTAACGAATAATTGTGATGTGCTAGGGTGTTTTACCATTCTTTGATGATTTCGGGCTACCGGTGTGTTCGATAACATCTTCATGAGTTGTTGCCGTGTCTTCGGCAACTAGGTTATTGGTGTTTGCAGCGATTTTCTTATCGAGAAATTTGTGAATTTTTTTGAGTTTTTGTTTTTTTGTTTTTATGGTGACTCTAGTGAAAAAGGTAAAGAGGTAGCTGTTGCTCCCCGTTCTGATAATTCTGTTTCTCAACATACTCCGGCTCAACGGATTATAAGTGTGTTGTTGAATATGCATAATTTTGCATCATGATCCCACTTCTTTTGTATCTATCCTGGAGCGAAAGGCAAGACAAGTTGGATTTTTTTTTTTTTTTTTTTCGAAAATTAAAGCAATTTTCATTGGATAATAGAATTTACAAAAAGGCGTTTAGGCCCAAAGATGAAGAAAGCAAGCCAAAGCTTGAGACAAGACTAGGAACAAGCCCAACAAGGAAACATTACAAGGCTGAGAACATTACAAGGCTGAGTTGGATATTGGGAAAGGGAAAGAAACATGGTATTAATAACTCTATATTTGCTGCATGGGATATAAACAACTGCACGATTCTAGGATGGCTATTTAATTCTATGGAAGAGGGACTTTACAATATGTTCATGTAGCATGACATGATACACAATACACAATCTTTGGATGACCCAGATGTATGCACATATATGTAAAGATTGTTACAAACTTTGTACTAAATTTTTTCCAATCTCAAATCCAAGTTTTCGATTTGGTGCTCCCAAACATAACATAGTATATGTGTAATGGTTAATACTTTATCACATAAATATTTTGCTAAATTTCCTCCAACCCCAAATCCATGTTGTCAATTCAGTGCTCTTAAACATAGCATAGTATATGTGCAATGCTTAGTACTCTATCGTAGAAATATTTTAAATTAGAGGTAATTTAATTTTGAGTTTTATAAAATAACTCCAATCCTAAATCCAAAACACCGAGTTGGTGCTCCCAAACGTAACATATTAATATCATTATTGTGAGATATAAATTTTGTATGTTAACAAATTTCAGAGTCCAAACTTGATGATTGAGTTGTTTTTTTGTTTATATACCATTGAATCCATTGAGAACATCATTTACGACAGGTATGTGGATGAGGGCACATTGCACTTATATGTTTTGAGTTGATTGTGAGAGCATTGAGCTTTTTGGAGTCAAAATAGGCCAATTTTTAGTACTCAGCAAAAGAACAACGGGTTGCACTTTAAACAGAACTGGTTGCACATCAAAACACAATTGTTTGGACTATTTGCATGAAAATTTTGGTCTTAGTTGAAACGCAATCGGTTACACTCTCTGCATAAAAAAATTGGTCTCAATTAAAACACAACCGATTGCGTTTTCCTAAATATGCGGGATTTCTATTATGGTAAGTTTTTAGTTTCCTGTTTTTACGCAAACTTCTAGGGTAGCCCTTGTTAGATTTTAAAACATCTTCACACACATTATGAGAACTCTAGCATATAAATACATCATTTATCTCTAATCCTCAGAGAGATTGATTGCTTCAATTGGAAAAATAAGGTTTTCTTCTCTTACATGAACATTGAAACTTTTTAAGAGATCTTTTTAGAGAAATTTGATTGTTTATTTTTTAGATAATACACTTAAATACAAGAGTGATTTTGGGTGATGTTCTTTTACTAATAAACACATCATCTTTATAGTTTACATCAAATTACAGAGATTTATATGTTCATCAAGGTTTTTCTTCTAAGCTTCACAAAATTGAAAATTGAATGAAGAGGAGGGTTTTGAAAACACTACGATGGGGTCAGAGCATTTGAGTTGTGTTTGTTAATCTACCAACAACCTTTCTACAAGGATCAAGGAGTAAGCTTAAAGTCTAGTGCCCTTGGATGGGTGTCGCGAAACTAGAGGGACGTTCAACGATTGGTACTTAGTAGAGCGGAGTAGGTGTAAGCCTAAGTCAGAGTGAATTGTACTTTGCTTCAACACTAATGGATCATTTTGCTCAAGACAATGAAAGTCTCTGTAGTTTTCGTCTCGGTTTGTTAGATTTCTTCCAATAACGGTTTTAATACTCAAAAACTCGGTGTCATCTCTTAAACTTTACTTTACCTGCTTTACTTTACTGTTTACATTTTTGTGATTGTGGATGTGAATTTTATAATAATTGTTGGTACGTAATTAATTAATCACAAAAATTGGACAAGTTGAGGTATTCGCCATCCTCTAGTTCATTAGAGCATTGTTTATAACTTAATCAACATAAAAGCTTTTGCATCGTGCTACTCACAATTATTATTTTCATTAGCTTATAATCAAGAAGTGCAACTATTGTTCTTTCATGTACCTCTCAAAATCAAAGCTGAAGGATCATGTTCTCATATGGGAGTGTGAGGTTTTTTTGCTAATTTCCGAGGGCTTCGTCCACAGATGAGGAGATTCCATTATAAAGACGAGGAGATATGTAGTAGAGAATTTGTGATACCCCCCAATTTCGAAACACGGTTTGATCAAGTCCTCGCCCAAAAACCAAGGGATGTCAAATAATTAATAATAAATAAGCACAAAATAAAAAACGAAATAAAAAATAAATAAAGAAATGATGGAAGGAAAACTAAATAATAAATAATTATTCTTTGATACTAACACTCCAAATAAATCCAATAAATCATAAACCTCCAAAATATAACTTACGAATTTGTATAAAGGATCCCTAATAAAACCAACACTGAAATAATAATAATTCTAAACAATAAATGAAATATAAGAAGTCCAACATTGACAATCTGGAAGAGTGAACAAAGATGCTCTCTGATTAGCACAAATAAAATCTAAGTCTGGAACTAACATGGACCTGAAAAATAAATAGTGTGTTAGACCCACAAATAAGTTTTTTCTACTACAACCCAATCAGAGAACCGATAAATGACATACTCCTAACCAACACATGCAATAGCTATATAGTCAATATAGGGCAGTCTCAACTGAACATCATCCTCTCTAGGGCCGCTAAAGAAATAATGACGATCTATTTATATATATATATACTTTTTTTCCCCACTAAAACTACGCATCGTAGGTCTATGTCTCCTGTTGTGATAAATTGCTTGTCGAAGTTCTTGGAGAGGGACGGTTGGGGTCGCAGTCCTGGACATCACTTCCTTGACCATCTGTTCTTTCAACGATAAAAGGTGGTCGTGCTATACTTGGTTTATTAGATCTTGCCTCCAGTGAATGCCGGTTGCTTTGTAAAGAGGGTGGGGAGTGGCTGTAATAGTGGTAGAGGGTGTTAGTGGCGGAGAAAAACTTAATTACACCGGTTATATTAATGACATAGTATCATCAACTGATTAAATACTTACACGTAGTGATATGACCTACTAAAATAATATAATTTTACTTATGTAACATGATACAATTAATTAATAGCACATATAATGAAGTATTTTAAAGAAGCATGAAAGTATTTCTCGTAATGGCGACCATTAGAGGCTTGCAAATTTTTTTCTAGATAGGTTTTGCCCGATTAATGTTTTTATTTTGTCTAATTTTTTTTAAGACACATGTCAGACTTTGGTTTGGCCACATCACCGAAGAGCTTAGAGTTTGTCCTTACCAGGCAGGACTCCGGTATTCTCCTCGAACTTAAATATTCGGTCCCCCTTCCCCTTCGTTCTTTAATCTGTCTTCTCCCACACAGATATCCGACTCGTAGTCAAAAAGTTGCGTGGCCCCAGTTCAACATAGCACCCGCCTACTGAATTTATTCGGCGTACAACCTTCTAGAAGCAAAATTTGCCATCTAGTGCAAATTGAGTTAGCTAGTGCCATTCTTTATCCCGTTTAGCAAAAGCTATTAATTCCCTAAAGTTAACTACTGGCCACACATCTCAAAAGCATAACAAATAAAGTTTGTTCTCTGTTTCGTTATTTGAAGTTGACTACTGGCCACACCCTTAGTTGCTGCTGCGGAGAAGGTTTGTATAATAGAGTATTTGATTAATAAAATGTTATTAGCGCTAACGAATTGAGAGTTACGATCCAATGGTGTAATCTAATGGCATTTATTGTCTTTTTAAAACAGAATGTACTTCTTCTAGACAAGTGGATGTGTGTGTGTTTGTTGTGAAAAAAATAAA